GGGAAAGAGGAGGAAGGGGGAAAGGGGAGGGTTGGGTGGAGGAAGATGAGAGGGGAGAGAAAGAAAAGAAGGGGGAAAGAAGGTATGGAAGGAGGGAGAAAGATGAGGAATGGGGGGGAGGAAGGCAAGGGAAGTGGAGGAAAGACAAAGAAGAAGGAAGGGGGAAGAAGAAAAGGAAGGTGAGGAAAAGAGGAGGAAGACGGAAGAGAAGGATGGTGAGGAAGAAAGGCAAGGAAGGGGGAGAGGAGGGAGAGGAGGGAGGGGGAGAAAAGACAAGGGGGAAAAACAAGGAAGGGGGAAAGAAAACAGGGAAGGAGAGGAAGAAGAGGAAGGGGGGAAGAGAAAAGAAAAAGATGAGGAGGAAGAAGACAGGGGGAGAAGGCAAGGAATGGGGGGAAAGAAGAAGAGGAAGGAGGGGGAAAGAAGATGAGGAAGGGGGGGAGAAGAAGACAGGAAAAGAGAGGGAAGAAGATGAGGAAGGGGGGAAGGAAGACAAGGAAGGTGTGGGAAGAAGACAAGGCAGAGTGGGGAAAGAAGACAGCGAGGTGGGAGAAGATGACGAGGAAATGAGGGGACAAGGCAAGTAAGGGAGGGACAAAGAAGACAAGGAGGAGGGGAAGGAATGCAAGGAAGGGGGAACAAGCCCAGGAAGGGGAGGCTGAGCCCCCACCTCGCTTCCCCCAGGAAGAGCCCCACAGGGTGTCCCTGCCCCACGGCCACAGCAGCTGTCCCAGTGCCCCCAGTACCTGTGAGCACCTCGCTGAGCTTGTGCTGGTGGCTGGAGGAGCCATGCAGGTCTGCCAGCCCCACCAGCACCAGCCCCACAATGGTGACCAGGATGCCCAACCACTGGTTCCACTCCAGTTTCCTGCCCAGGAAGGCCACGGAGAGGAGCCCAGTGAAGATGATCACGGAGCCGCGGAGCATCTGGAAGCTGGAGGCGCTGGTCATGTTCAAAGCTGTGTGTGGAGAATGAGGCTGAGACCAGGCACAACTCATTGCACGAGTGGAAAGAGTTGGCTCAAGCCCTTTCAGCCTCTTTAGAGGCAAAAATACCCCCCAAATTCCATGTTCCATGAAACATGGTCCCCAGTTTCCTGCCCTCTTCCCCCTTCCTTGTCTTTTCACTTCCTTCCTTGGCTTGCTACCCCCTTCCTTGTCTTCTTTCCCTCCTTTTCCTTGTCTTCTTTGCCTCCCATCCTCATCTTCTTTGTCCCTCTCATCTTCTTTCCCCCCATTCTTTGCCTTCTCCCCTCTTTCCCAGGCTTCTTTTCCCCTTTCTTTGTCTTCCTTCCCTTCCCTTCCTGGGTTTCTTCCCCTCCTTCCTTCTTTCCCCCCTCCTCCTCCCTTTCCCCCCTTCCTTCTGCCTTTCCTCCTTCCTCCTCTTCTTTCATCCTTCCTCCTCCCTTTCCCCCTTCTTCCTCTTTCCCCTTTTCCCCCCTTTTCTTTCCCCCTTCCTCCTCTTCTTTCCACCTTC